GTTTACAAAGATTTATGGCTAGAAAAGCCATACTATGTAATTTACTACACTGCACACATGCTGCAAATATATCCATGAATGCAGTAGAGCATACTGGGGACAACCTTATGAAAACTTCTCAGTCATAACAAAACACCTTGAACGAATGAGTTGCTGGGCCTGAGGGCTCAGACCATAGTCCCAGGGGAGACGAAGGTCATTTGGCATAACATAGTTCACAAAGACAACGTTCTACATATATCTTTGTGATGTGGGGTCTTAAAAGCTTGTGAGAGGCCGTCCAACACGCACCTACTGGCCTCTCTCAGTCTGGAGCAAAGAAGAGTAAAGAAAATCAAAGATGCAGGGAACACAGTCCAAAGGGGTAATGGACCATGTGAACCCCAGCCTTTACAGCCCAGAAAAACTAGATGGTGCCCAGCTACCACTGCTAACCACTCTGAAAGGGATTACAATATGAGGTTCCAGATAGAGTGGGAGAAAAATGTGGAACAAAACTCAAATCATAAAAAAAAGAAACGGCTTACTGGTCTGATGAAGACTCACAGACCCCCAAGATTATGGTCCTTGGACACCCTTCAAGCTAGGAAATGAAGTCAACTTTCTGTGTTTCAACTTTTAGCCAAACTATAGTCAGACCTACAAGGTGAGCAGTGATACTAGGAGGGGATGCCCTCACTAGAAGAATCAACCACTGAATAGATCAAGAGGGCAGTAGTTGTCCAGGGATAGAGCTAGGAACGTACGTAGCAAGGGATGCGAAGGAAGGGAGGACAAAGGGAAGTGCTGGGTGTGTGGGGAATTGGGAAGAGTGCTGTTGCATTGTGGGGACTGCAGTGAATGCCACAAAACAGAATGTTTGGGTTATTTAATAGAAAACTAATTTTCACTGTAACCTTTCATCCAAATCACAATTTAAAAAAAGCAAAAACAACAAAACCTAACAAACAAAAAGCAAATTTAGAACTCGACATCATATTTTATTGTGTGAATATATCATAATTTCTATAAGACTATAAAAATTTTGAATCATATTGAATGTTTAGAATAAAATTATTTTTATATAAATTTATTTTTTTTAAAAAAAGGAATCTGACAGGGAGACATGGAGCATTCCCAGAGGAGCAGGTGACATAAGGAAAATTTATAAAAAAGGAAGCAGAAAAAAAGTCAGAATTTCACAGTTTTTTTGAGTATGTTTCACATGGTCTCCTGCTTTATGGCTTCTATTATTCTGCAATGTTCAGTCCAGTTTTCACTATGTCAAACATATTCTATTGAATTATTTGAAAATAAATACAAGTACAACCATAGGAAATATACTACATTAAATATAGAGCATTCTATTTAAGATTTTTGGTCTAAAGTATGATCTGAATGAAATCACAACTTACCACATAAAATCAAACACAATACACTAAAATTTTAAAACATATTAATTGCTTATTATGGTAAGTAAGTAATCCTATTCTGCTGGCAACAAATAATACTTGTCTAAATACTTTACACTTTCTTCAAGCAAAGGAAATATAAGGAAGCACTATAAAATCAGTAAACATTGAAACTTAGGCATTCCCTAGATTAGAAAAGAGTTTGTCATTATTATGCCTCCTGGACTTAGGAATGCAGCACTACAGGTTTACAACAACAGGAAAAAATTATTACTAAATACAAACCCAGCCCTTATAAGTTTAAGATTCTTCCCTGATGAAATTGTTTAGGATTAAACTAATGAAGCTGTGGCAAATAGATTTAGCATTTGACACAGCAATAAGCAATTACTTTACTAATAGTACTTTGAAAATAAATAAAACTTATTTTAAATCTTTGTATTGTTACTCTTCTCCTGCTATCCCTTCTCCTTTAATGTGAAAGAGCTTTTGTATGTTTAATATATCTACCCAGCTACCTTATAGGCCCTTGCCTCTAACTCTGCCAAAATAAACAAAAGGCCATTTTTCATTTCAATATTTAGCTTTCATCTATTTATTTTTAAGTTATCTTCCATTATTAGCACTTACAGCAAGCACCACAACATATACCATCAGTTTGAGAGACAAAATCTAAATAGATGTTCAATACTTTAGTTTCATTAAGTCTTTGACTTCATATCTAGTAGCCCTCACAACTTCTCAATTCACTTACGGCAATGTCTCATACATTGTTATTACTCAGGGCTGAGTGCTTTACCTCTGACATCTTAAGCAGCAATATTCTACTTTCTGATTACAATCTTTTATATTTCTTTTAGGAGGAACCTGTCCCTGGAGAAAGATATCACGCTTGGTAAAGTATAGGGTCAGCGAAAAAGAGGAAGACTCTTAATGAAATTGATCAACATAGTGGCTGCAACAATGAACTCAAACATAGCAATGACTGTGAGGATGGTGCAGGACTGTGTGGTGTTTTGCTCCGTCACTATGAGCTGGAACTGACTTGATGGCACCTAACAACATACTTTCTTAAATTTTCTTATTCAATTACATTGCCCTGTGATCATCTAAAAATGTATGGTTTCTGGATTCTTCCTTTTTCTTTCAATAGATTTATCTTTTCAACTTTATGTCCTGCCCTCCTTAGCCTATCTTATCATTTATCACTTCATCCACTCTTTTGTTAGTCCCCCAACTTCTCTGTTCTTTGTCATTTTAGTCCCTCAAATCCATAATCCTGGATCATTTTAATCCTTTGCTTTCTGTGCTCCTACAGCTGACTGTCCTAAAGAAATGGATACGACTATACCAATTTATGGCATTCATCTTCCAGCTAAGTCCTAGGATTGCTTGCCTTTGTTCTTTTCCTTGTCCTTATTCAGTTCTCTCTCCCATTCCCTTCAGGATCTAGCCTAAATCTTTGACATTCCTTTTAAAGGTTCCTGCCTTCTCCCTTTCAGATGACTACATTAACTCCTACTTTACAGAAAAACATAATGGAACCATTATTTGTGGACTCAATTCATTTACATTCATTCTTCTTCTCTTCTTCACTCTTGTCTACAAGCACAAGGTGACCATCTTCCTATTCTTCCACAGACACTATATAGTCTCCCTTCCTATCTTCTCCAGAACCCTGTTCCATAGAACGATTATTTTTGTACTGACTACTTCCATTTAGTCCATAAACATGCTGAAGTATCTCTCATTTTTCAAAAACAAAACCAAAACTCTTAATCTACCTCCTTCTCTTTTCAACTGTAATTACCATGTTTCTTATTCATGTTTCTTTAAATATCACTCTATAGTCTAAACTTCAATGCTTCTTTACCTTTGTATTGTTACTCTTCTCCTGCTATCCCTTCTCCTTTAATGTGAAAGAGCTTTTGTAAGTTTAATATATCTACTCAGCTATCTTATAGGCCCCTGCCTCTAACTCTGCCAAAATAAACAAAAGGCCATTTTTCATTTCCATATATAGCTTTTATCTATCTATTTTTAAGTTATTTTCCATTATGGCACTTATAGCAAGCACCACAACATATACCATCAGTTTGATTCAATTCACAGAAAACTGACTTCTACTCTGTTAAAGTACTCTTCTGGAGTATACTAATGAACACCTAAATACAAACATAACAGGCTTCTTTCAGTCCTTATCTTAATCAATAAGCAATATTTGACTTTATTTTTCTTTTTGGAAATCTTCCTTGGTTTCAGTGACATCATTCTTTTTGATTTCACTCCAACCTCTTCAACTTCTTGGTTTAAGAAGAAATTGATCATAACACTCATTGAGCACTAACATAGCCAAAATTTGTGCTAAGAGTTGTACATACAATCCTTTGAGGTAGGTACTATAATTTCCATTTTACAAAAATGAAATAGACTTGGGAAGGTTCATTGATATAAGATCATATAAGACATGGCTGTCTAACTGTAAATTCAAGTAGCTTTAACTACTGTACTATCAGGAATTTAAGTAGCAATGAGAAGGGTATTTGAGAAGCATATATTTGAGCTAGTGATTTTAACACTTTAGAGTGCTAGCTTTATATAGATAAAAAGAACCCCTTTGAAAAGGAAATATTTTTTACTTTTTAATTTTTAAATATCTTTCAATAACCTATTACCTCATTTAGTGAATTCTTATATTGCAAGCTTGAGATTGTTGAATCATAGTAATCAAAAATATACAGGCACTATACATACCAAAACCAAACCCATCATTATCGAGTCAGATCCAACTCACAGTGACTCCTCCTTGGGTTTCCGAGGTAGTATCACTATGGAAGAAGATTGCCCAACCTTCCTTCCGAGGAGTGGCTGGTGGGTTTGAACGCCAGTTTTCTGGTTAGCAGTGAAATGCCTTAGGCGCTACGCCACCAGAGCTCTTGGCACTACACATAAGAGTGTTTTTCAAACATCTTTTTACCATGATTCACTGTGAGAATATAGATATTACATATAACCCAAAACATAATCTTACTTTTCCCTCTTTCTTCCTCTCCACACACAAATTGGAAAATTGAAACATAAGCATCACAAACAATATTTACTTTTACTATATGAGGTACACTCTGACATTTCTATTCTATTCTATTTCTTTTCATTAAAATATGATAATTATGATCTACTGAATTGATTTTACAACTACTCCTGGAGCATAAATTAAGTCTATTAAAAATCCTTCAGGGTGGTCCTTTAGAAATTTCATATATTATATTAAGTGAAAGGTTGTTGATACCGTTATGCATATATTATTTTAAAAATATATGTAATTTCAGGGGTAGTTAATAGATTGGCAAATAGTCTAACCGGAAGCCAAGTTCCATTTAGACAACTGATAGATGTAAATTTTATAACTCCAATGGGAGTGCAAACTTAAGGAAATGAGGTAGAATAATGAATATTTGATGGCTTAATTACTTTAAAATTACAAAAATGATTTAAAAATATATTGTTTAATTTAACTGAGGTATTTCCTCATTCATCTTTGTGAAATTAGGTAAAAACATTTGCCAAGCAAACTAAATTTATTTCACTAGAGGCTAAAAATAATTTTACCTGTAGTAAACTCGAAGTGTCTGGATTTCTTCTTCCAGTTTTTTGTATTGTTGAACTGCAGTTTCTCTGGCCTGTTGCATTGATAATAACTTTGCCTGAAAGTAATATTTTAAGATAATTAAGTATTAGTTTTGGTGTGTTGAAATACAGCACTATAGAATAAAGTTTTCAACTTTAAGTTATTGGTAGTTTTAAAATGTATCAATATTTTTAGCAGTGTCTTATAATTACCACAGAACAATTTAATTATATCAATAGTGAAAACATTAAAAACATAAACATACTAAATTTACCAACTTTGCTCATTACTAAACTTTAATCCTATTTATCTGTATCATCAGATACATTTACATGCCCTTCTGCAATGTTTAACCTTATACACAGAATTCAGAATGTGGAACATGGGTTCAGAGCAATATCTAGAATAGAGATAAGCACAATGGGTGTTTAACATACAAATTTAATGTGGCTCCACTGGTTAACCACACTAGATTTTCTTTTAACTTTATTAATAGTAGAACTCAGAAAATTCTAAACATGTTGCCAGGCCATCTTCCATATTTCATATAAAAAATTTACAAGACTACAATCTGATTTTTACAGATATGATTTAACCTTTTCAATTCCTTTTCTGCAGAGACAAAAAAAAGGTCCCTAAAGAATAATGGCAGGAATCTTGAACACTAGGGATGGTCTCATCTCTCCTGGACTATAATATTCAAGTTTTAAAGAGTATTTTTCAAAAGAGTTCAAAAGTTGTATTAGTTAACTAGGGCTGCTGTATGATTAAGTACCACAAGTGGCACTTTTAAAGAAAAAAAAACATATATTTTTTCACAATTCTGGAGACTAAAAGTCCAAATCAGAACCTCAGCCTTGTGGATTTCTTCCTGATCAGTAGCCCTGGGCATTCCTTGTACATGATCTTCACATGAGTCTATCCTTCCCTATGTATGTGCCTCTGTGCCTATTCTGGTCTGTTTAGAAATCAAAAGTGAGCTTAGGATCCGGCCTACACTAGTATGACCTCATTAACATAATAAAAGACAAACCATATTTCCAAACAGGATCACATCCACAGGTACAAGGACCAGGAATTCAACACACATTTTGGGGCGGGGGGTGGGGTGATGGGGTGGCTTAATTCAATGCATAACACTAGTAATGTAAAAAGAATTTATCACCTCTTACCCTCATTCATAACTTTTAAATTATGGTAGTGGTACAGCAGGATTCAGTCTTGTGTATTAAAAATTTAACTTGCATGAAATGGTTGTCTTTACCTTTATATGGTTTTTTATATATAACACCTTGCAAATTGCTGTCACAACCTTACAAACTACACAGAAGCCTATAATTAAAAAGGAACTGAAAGTGTGGAGGCAGAAGTTTAGTATTGTGCTGAACTCATAGGATTTTACTGTACAAAAATGCAATCATAAGACAAATCTTGATATATTGATTATAGGAAAATTAGTATAAGTGAACATTAGATAATGTATTATTATTATTAGGCATTTTAATAATGGAGAATTACGAAAGCATGAAGTAGTTTGGGTTTTTGCATACAGTTTAGTCACTAATGTATAAATTTGTTCTCTTTACTACATCTGTGGAAAGAGACAATGGTGAAGCTCAATATCATCAGTCAAAACAATGCCAGGAGCTGACTGTGGAAAAGACCATCAACTGGTCATATGTAAGTTCAAATTGAAGCTGAAGAAAATTAAAACAAGTCCACGAGAGCCAAAACACAACCTAGATTATATCCAACTTGAATTTAGAGACTATATGAAGAATAGATTTGATGCATTGGACATCAATGACTGAAGACCAAATGAGTTGTGGGATGAACATCATACATGAAGAAAGAAAAAAGGTCATTAAAAAGAAAAGAAAGGAAGTAAAGACCAAAATGGATGTCACAAGAGATTCTGAAATGTGCTCTTGAAAGGAGAACAGCTAAAGAGAGAGGAAGAAATGACAAAGTAAAAGACCTGAATGGAAGATTTCAAAGGGAGGCTTGAGAAGACAAGTATCATAACAAAATGTGCAAAGACATGGACTTAGAAAATCAAAGGGGAAAAAACACACTCAGCATTTCTCAAACTGAAAAAATTGAAGAAAAAATTCAAGCCTAGAGTTGGCAATATTGAAGTACTCTGTGGGCAAAATATTAAATGATGCAGGAGGCATCAAAAGAAGATGGAAGGAATACAGAGTCACTGAACCAAAAAGAAATTTTGACATTCCATCATTTCCAGAGGTAGCATACGATCAGAACCAACAGTTTTGTAGGAACAAGTACAAGCTGCACTGAAGCAGTTGGCAAAAAACAAGGCTCCAGGAATTGACATAATACCCACTGAGATGTTTCAACAAGCGAAAGCAGTGCTAGAGGTGCTTACTCATTTATGCCAAGAAATTTGGAACACAGCTGCCTGGCCAACTGACTGAAAGAGATCCTTATTTGTGCCCATTCTAAAGAAAGGTGATCCAACAGAATGTAGGCATTATTGAACAATAACATTAATATCATATGCAAGTGAAATTTTTCTGAAAATAATTAAAACATGGTTGCAGCAGTACCTTGACAGAGAACTCCCAGAAATTCAAGCTGGATTCAGAAGAAGATATGGAATGAGGGATATCATTGCTGGTGTCAGATGGATCTTGGCTGAACGCAAAGAATACCAGAAAACTGTTTACCTGTGTTTTATTGACTATGGAAAGGCATTAGACTGTGTGGATCATAGCAAATTATGGACACTATTGTGAAGAATGAGTAACTTCAGAATACTTAATTATGCTCATGAGGAACCTGTACATAGGCCAAGCGGCAGTCATTCGAACAGAACAAGGGGGTACTGCATGGTTTAAAATCAGGAAAGGTGTGCATCAGGGTTGTATACTTTCTCCATACCTATTCTATCTGTATGCTGAACAAATGATCCAAGAAGCTGCATCCAAGAACACAGTGTCAAGATTGGCGAAAGACTTAACAACCTGCAATATGAAGATGACAACATTTGCTTGCTCAAAGTGAAGATGACTTGAAGTACTTACTGATGAAGATCGAACACTTCAGTCTGCAGTATGGTTTATGCCTCAAGTTAAAGAAAACAATCCTCACAACTGGACCAATAACCAACATCATGATAAATAGAGAAAAGATTGAGATTGTCAAGGATTTTATTTTCTGTGTATCTGCAATCAACACCCATGGAAGTAGCAGTCAAGAAATAAGAAGACATATTGCACTGGGCAAATCTGCTGCAAAAGACCTCTTTAAAGTGTTAAAGAGCAAAGATGTCACTTTGAAGACTAAGGTATGCCAGATCCAATTCACTGTCTTTTCAAGAGCCTAGTAGCCAATATGAATTGCAGTGTTGGTGAAGAACACTGAATATACCATGGACTGCCAGAAGAATGTAGAAATTTGCTTAGATGAAGTACAACCAGAATGCTCTTTAGAAGTGAGAATGGCCAGACTTCACCTCTCATACTTTGACCACGTTATCAGCAGGGACCAGTCCCTGGAGAAGGATATCATGCTTGGTAAAGTAGAGGATCAGTGAAAAATAAGATCTTCAATGAGATGGACTGACACAGTGGCTGCAACAATGGGCTCACACATAGCAATACTGTGAAGATGGCACAAGACTGCAGTGTTTCATTCTGTTCTACATAGGATTGCCATGAGTGAAAACTGACTCAACGGTTTCTAACATTCCACAGTGACAGTGATCCTGCTTATTCTTTGATGCTGAAATGAACTTTCTTCCATCACTACCCAAGGGCCAAAAGTAGGTACATACGGTAGGTTGTCTAATCGAGCACTCCATCTAGTCTCTGAGACAGATTTAAAAATAACAATAGAAGAAAATTGAATACCAGTGATATCATTTACACTCCTGGATCCAGGTAGGCCAGAGAAAATTCCAACAGATCCAGATTACCTTTTGGACTTCCAAATGGATGAATTCTTTTCTTTTCTTTTTTGCTGAAGCTAGTGTTATGGATTGAATTGTACCCCCTTCCCACAAAATATGTCTTGCAATCCTAATCCTATTACCTGTGGATGTAATCTGATGCAATGTAATCATCTTCCATAATGCAATGTAAGGGAATGCAATCAATTGATCAGTTGAGGTCATACCTGTGTAGGGTGGATCCTAAACCTTATCACACCTGATTTATATAAAAAGCAGCACAGACACAGAACACACACACACACAGAAGAAGAAATATGCCATGTGATGATTATCAAGGAACATCCTGGGCTAACAACAGGGAAGAAATAGATAAGGTCAAGACCCTCATTTGAACTTTTAGCCTCCAGAACTGTGAGCAAATAAATCTCTGTTCTTTCAAGCTACCCATTTGTGGTACAGCACTAGGAAAGTAAGACAGTTAGTCTCAGTTGGATTCCTGGTATATGCAGTGTGAAAATACATAACTAATTTAAATGTTCTGCTTACTTATATTGATTTTTTTCTTAGATTCATTATTAATATATATTTCCATTACTCTACAGATAAAAAATGAATTTCATGTAAGAAAATCACAAAAATTAGCCAACAAGGTATTTCTTTTGTTTTCTTGGCATCCTATTTCTCATATTTCTGGCAATTACCTTTGTAAAACTGTGTACTCAGTTATATGTATTGCTGTTATTGTTGTTCGGTGCTGTCGAGTCATCTCTGACTCATAGTGACCCTATGCACAGCAAAACAAAACAATGCCCAGTCTTGTGCCAGCTTCATGATCCTTGCTATGCCTGAGCCCATCATTGCAGCCACTGTGTATCTATCTTGTTGATGGCCTTCCCCTTCTTTGTTAACCCTCCACTTTACCAAGCATGATATCCTTCTCCAGGGAATGGTTCCTTCTGACATGACCAAAGTAGGTGAGATGAAGTCTGGACATTCTCGCTTCCAAGGAGTATTCTGGCTGCACTTCTTCCAGGACAGATTTGCTAGTCCTCTCAGCGGACCATGTTACTCTTAGCATTCTTCTCCAATATCACTACTCAAAAGCATCAACTCTTCTTCAATCTTCCTTATTCATTGTCCAGCTCTCACATGCGATTGAA